GCTGATCGCCAACTAGGATTAATAAGAGCGGGATACAAATCATCCTTAATGTATTTCAGGGCTCGTAGCAGCTTGTGGAAAACCCAGTGCTTTTGCTTACCTCAAAGAGCAATTTGAAAAAAGCTGCTTCCTTTTACATATACCATGGTTCCAAATTAAAGAAATGTGGTTCCCAGTTTGGGTGGGGTGAGATCAACTAACAAACTACAAATCTCTCCTTCATCATGAGAGAGCACTTCAGATCTATGCTCTAGCAGGAAGGAACTCTGTGGCAGCTAATGGGGTAAGCAGAGAACGATTCATGTATTGAGACTGTGACCAAGATGAAGACTGAAGAATAGTTAGAAATGATGCTTTTTTTTTTTAAAAAAAAAAAGTCTGGAGTATGTCAGACTTCTGGAGCCAATAATATTGCTAATGAGTTGTGAAAGCCTGGCCCATTCTTGATTAAATTGAAGATGCCACTATGCAGCTTTTTGGTTGTCCCAGCAGAACTGAATAACTATTGTTCTGCAACAATACAGCGCTCAGCAAGAGCAGAGGCTAAGTCTCCCCAGGGTTTCCCCTCAACAGGCTGCTTTGATACTTGGGGAAGGGGGTCTTCCACTCGTTAATGGGAACTGGTTAATGCATATCAAAAATACTGTTAAAAATTTTACCCCTCCCATGCAACCAAATTCAGTGACGCCAAATCAAAAAGGGCTAGGCAAGTATTTCTAATCAGTTGCCTGAGCTGCTAAAAAAACCCAAAACAAACCACAACCTAAAAAATATGAGCTTGTTAATGGTAAAAAAGCAACATGTTGTGGGTGCAGTATAAGAATTGAAGGGTTTTTTTTTACTAGAATACATGAGATACCATCAGAGATCTTTCAAAGGATCCACCACCTGAACTTAAATGTGTTCATCCAGCTTCTCTGGCATCAATTACAATGTGAATGTAATAGTCTCAGTAGACTGAAAAATAAACTGGATGAGGATGGAAGTAATTTCTAAAAGCTGATTATATCTAACAGTCTGATAATAAAATTTTGAGCTAAAGTAATGCAAAGTTGTTGGTAGAGCAATCTTGCCTTAAGCTGGAATTTATTTTCAGCTCTTTCGTATGAAAGCACAACCTGGTGATTCAATCTGTGTTCTGTGTCCTAATCCTCTTGACTAATCAAAACCTTTCTCATTGGTGTAACTCAGCTGCAATAAAAGGTCATGGAAAAGCCTTGACCATGAGGTGTTTGTTGTCTGAACAGCACGGTCTGTCTTCCTGATGCAAACCCAAATTAGTTCAATCCCTTCCAATGTTGTCCTGAGTCAGTGTTTTATGTTAACCTTGCTGTGTCTGAAATCCTTCAGCAGCAGATCATTATAGAAGCATGACCTTTCTGCAATACTTGTATTTTGTGGTGCCATAAGGAAAGGTTACTGCCTTCCATGCCTACAGAGGCTGTAGTCTATGGAGCAAGAAGTGTAGTCTTTATATAACCATACAGTTACTTAAATTAGGCAAATGTGCTTTAATGCTCATGTGTCATGAAATTGGATGATGTCATGAAGTTACATCACTGTGGATATTCTGACTGGTATCTGCATGTGCATAATCCTTTCCCTTGAGTATTTGGGGCAAAGAAAGTCCCTCTCAGATCCCAGGCCTCAAACTACATCATCAAAGGGAGATGCCACAACTCCCAAAGGAGCATCTTGGGACAAGACTCTTTGGGACAACTAAGTAGAAGGACACATTTAGTGCAACTTCACTAAGTTCTCCTGTAAAGCTGTGGAAAGCAGACTCTATTAATCCTGAATCATGTTTCTATTATTCTCTTGAAGTACAGTAGCCAACTTCGGGGGACAAGAACTGGTCCGAATCTGCCTTCTTGTTTGCAGGGTGGCTGCTGAGCAGCAGCTGGGCAACTCTACACTGGAACAGCATGGTTCTCCATTCGTTTTGACTGAGCTGCACTGGACTTTCCTCTCCTGAGGAGTGCCTAGCTATCCCTGCTAAGGTACAGAAAACAAACTGGGATTCAAACAAGTGTGTGACAAAGGCTTTGGAGAAGCAGAACATGCCTGGGAAGAGGCTAAAGCTCCGTGTGAGGGGAAATGTAAGGGTAGGCTGGCTGAAGACGTTGGATAACAAGAAAGGAAGCCTGGCATGACTGAACAAGACTCATCTGTTACCACCACAAGGGGAAGGAGTGCTGGCTCGGTAGTCAAGATCAAGAGTTGCTATTTCATTTCCTGACAGTCTGTGATCCTTTAAGGAGTGTTGCTAAGGTCTGCAGACGATCAAATCTGTCCAGGTGGTCTTGGAAATCCTGTATGAGCTACCCCTGAAGACTCAGATTTGGGGGGAAGTTAGTCTCTATCCTAGATAAAGGTGTACGGTGACATGTTTTAAACTGTATTGGCAGTCCCTTTCTTCAGTAAAAAGCTGGAGAGATTGCATCCTCCTTTTGCACTCAAAACCAAGCTGACGATTGTGCTTGCCACTGCTAGTGCAAAAAAGGAGGGAGAAGAATGGTCTCCAACCCTCTCATCAACCAAAATGGTGCAATTTCTGAAGTCTGACTTCACTTCTGAACGTACTGGAAAGGACGCTTGAGGGAGCAGAGTTTGGGAAGCCTGGCAGTTCTTTCCATATTCTTTCTGCACCAACAATTCGTACTCTTTAATATTTGAAGTGTAGTGAGATCGGCTTGTGTGCATCACTGACCTTTGACACAAGAAGGAAAACAGAGGAAGGACTTAGCTGACCTGCTTTCCATGGATGAGTTCAAAAGCATAGTGCAAACAAGCAGGGACAAATCTAAAAATCCGAATTATCTTGTGACATACAGCTAAACAAAAGATTGAGGGGCAATTTCTTAGAAATTACTCTAGAAATATTCTTGCAGAAGCTTGAGGAAAAGTGGTTTGGTTTGTTGGTGTGGTTTGGTTTTTGTTTTTGTTTTTTTCTAGTAGAGAAGGAAAGTGCTAAAAAGTTTAATGTCTATGTGAGAGGGGGGTTTCTTTTTGCTATTTAAAAAAAATCCTCTAACTACAATGATGGCATACAAGGGGTAAGATCTTGAGCCTGATTAGGTTGGTGGCAGCTTGCATACTTCTTTGTCTTCAGAGAGGTTGAATCTAATGGGCTAGTTAACCACCTTGGAAACTAGTTGTTCTATGGAAATGTGGGGAATGGATAAGGTATTAAGGATGGAAGAGAAGACGGGATAAACATGGTATCTTAAAAGAACGAAAAGGAGATAAGACCAATAAATACAGCCATGTAGGTAATACAGGGGCAATGAGAGAGCTCAATTGCTTTGTTTCACAGATCATACTTGTGCTGGCTAACTTCTTCCCAGGATGAAAATGAGTGTTATAGTAATTTTTAAATGACACTGTGTTAATGCAAGCTAGAGAAATACTGTGGGCCTAGGTATAAAGCTGGCAAGAATGTATGTTCTTCTTTTTACGTAATGAGATTTCAGATTCCTGATAAAAGCACAATCAGTTTGGATGATGCAACGCAGTATCTCCTAAACTTGCAGAAAGCGCAGTGTTGGAAAGGGATGACGAGGGCATCTTGAGGATGGGATGGAAGTCAAAATTCTGGAAAACAGGGGATGTAGTTGGATGAGGAGAGATGAAAATCAGAAGTGATTTACAGGGCTTTGGCTTGAAATCTGAGAAGGGAGAATGCCTGGTTAGGTAATGGTAGCCCTGCAGAAATAAACCTGGGGCTAGTCATGAGCTGAGAGTCAAGCATGTTGTACTGATAGGAACAGTAAGTGTATACAGCAGAGGCCAACAAGATGCATGAAGTAATCACTCTGCTTAATTTAGTGTTGTCATCTTTGGATATCCTGAATAGCTCTGAACTTCGTGTGTTACAACAAACAGGGGTTTGGCCTCTTGTTTCAGCAACTGAACTTCTGTGCTGGTTATTGTACTCATAGAATCATAGAACGGTTTGGGTTGGAAGGGACCTCAAACATCATCTAGTTCCAACCCCCCTGCCATGGGCAGGGACACCCTCCACTAGACCACGTTGCCCAAAGCCCCATCCAGCCTGGTCTTAAACACTTCCAGGGATGGGGCTTCCACAACCTCTCTGGGCAACCTGTTCCAGTGCCTCACCACTCTAACAGTAAAGAATTTCTTTCTAACCTCTAATCTAAATTGCCCCTCCTTTAGCTTAAACCCATTACCCCTTGTCCTGTCACTACACTCCCTCATAAACAGTCCCTCACCATCTTTCCTGTAGGCCCCTGCAGGTACTTGAAGGCCACCATTAGATCTCCCCAGAGCCTTCTTTTCTCCAGGCTGAACAACCTCAACTCTCTCAGCCTGTCCTCATAGGAGAGGTGCTCCAGCCCTCTGATCAGCTTCATGGCCTCCTCTAGACTGTCTCCAGCTCCTTGAAGCATAAAAGCTCAGGGTTGTATTCTCCTACATGGAAGGCTGGCTTCTATCTCAGGACTTAGTCTGAGTGCCCACACCTATAAAAAAGGGAATCTCATTCTACTTCCAGTTAGATGCTGTAGTTTCAGTTATGTGAGCACTGCTGGAAGGGCTCAGAAAGGCAGAGAAACCAAACTACTTTGTCTCCCCTTCCTTTCTGCTCCTTAGAAGTAATGCAGTAATTCACAGATGAAGTGGTTGGCAGATTGCAAAGACGTGAGCAGTCAGAACCTGAAGCAGAACAGTTGTTGTGTAAGGACTGAGCATCAGCTGCAGCTCTGAACAGATTCCTTGCTATCTTCTTTCCCAAAGCAAGTGCAGATTGGAAGCAGCACAGAGAAAGGAGACAGCAAGACTGACCTTTCCAACACCAAATAGACTAACCAGAACTACTCTTCTGGGGTGGGGGGGATGGAATGAAGAAAGATGAGAAAATGCAATCTGAACAGAGAAAGTTTGTGTCACCTTCAGGAGACCTTAGAGGACTTTGCACAAGCAACACGATAACTTAAGTTATCTCATCACTAACACACCTTCTCCCCTTCTCTTTAAAGCAAACTACAAATCTGAACCTTCCTCCTGAAGATCTTGATTCATCTGGTGATGACGACGATGGATTCTCAGGTTCAGGTGCAGGTGAGTTATTAGCACTTGTACGGTTAGTGCTTGATCCTTCCAGAATGTGGCAAGATCCTGATGAGCATCCAAGCTAAAACAGGAGGAGGGAGGAATCACACACACACGCCCCCGCCCCAGAATATGAGGGCTGGGAACAGAGAAAGAGCTAATCTATTCATCTTGTATTTCTTCAGATACTAACAATTAGCAGAAAATGAGTTGTAGGAGACTTGAAAGGGAGCAGAAGCAGGTATACTCCATGTCACTGCGAAGATGAGATATTGCATGAAGAATGTTATGAAACTGGAGTGATTCTTTACTCATGGGGAAGACAGACCGTAAGAAGGGCCTGTGTCCTCTCTTATGAGCTGGTAGGAGATACCATTTTAGGGTGTGTAAACCCCAACCTGCCAACATACATCAAGTGCAAATTTTATTTGTCATCAAATGTGCAAGTTCCCATGGGCCATAATTTTTTTAAAAGTGGAATAAAGGGGTCTTAGAGTGGGGAAAAAGTCTATTGGAATGATTGCTAAGCTGCATGAGAGAGACCTTCGGTGTTCAGTGCTGAAGTTGAGGAGATGCTGCTGAGGAAAGAGCAAGCTATCAAAAGCTAAAGCATGGTATCCTTCTGCTTCCTTCCAGCTACATGCTTCTATTTTAGATTAAATTCTGCAGGAATAAGACCCTGAAATCGGTGCCAAATGTGCCAATGACTAAAGGTGTTGAGTATATGGGTGACTGCTTTGAATCACATAAAAGATATTTATGGGAAAAGAGTCAAATAACCATCCTGAGCAACCAGTGTACTGAAAGCAGACGTCCCCCTTGTCGACCTGTCCACAAACAGACTAGCACTTGTGCCTTGGGGAGAAGCAGATGACTAACAAGGTATTGCTGAATACCACATGGGTCTGTCCCTTCCTTATTCCACTGAAAAGGATAAGGAATTACAAACTGAACTGCTGTTATTACAAAAATTGGCTATGCAGGTTAGGCATCCTCCTTAGACCAGCACCCTGAAGATACTATTAATAGGTCTGTAAACTGTCCAAGGATAATATTTATTTGTTTTGCAGGTCCCCTGACTGACCAGTCTCGCACTTGGAGAATCCCAGGAGAACCAACTAACTCCTCATTACTGGCAACACCAATGGATTTCAACGAACAGCCGTTTCCTGGGATTGAGAGCCGAACTGAAAAGGAAGTGGCATCTCCTTCTGCAACTAGTAATGTAGTGACAGAGGAGCCTGTTGTACCTGCGAAGGATGAAGTATCTATCTTGGGCTTACCTGATAAGAAACCAATAAATGATGTGGTTACAACAACAGTGAGAAGCCCCACTACTCACTTTCCTTCAGTGGTTCATGTAACTCCTTCAGAAGCCTCAGGCACGGTCCACGAGCTCGAACCTAAAATTCCTAGCTCTGATGTTCCAGACACTAAGGACGTGCCTGAGCCCCACTCTACCGTCCATCATGAGGAAGACATCACTACCACCCCCACGACGACAGCTCCAAAGGATGTTGTTCCTACACATGAGGAGGTTTCTGAAGATGGCTCTGGAGACCCGGTGAGGACTAATAGCTCTGACACCCTTTCTAGGGGGATGGCTTTAGTAGTATGTAATAAGTTGGTTTTGCCGGAAAAGGTGTTAATTTGTCAAAAACAATGATTGACTTAATAGGTTATATTCATGGAGGGGTTTAGATGAGAAAAAACAAAGCTGTGGAAAGTCTCCAGTAACAGACATGATGAGAAACTTGTATAAACTGCCTTGTGTATCTCAACAGGGAGACTTCATCTTGACTAAAGATGAGGATTTGGTCCCTACCCAGAACTCAGAAGTGCCGGCTGACTCTGGGAGAAATGCCAAAGCAGCAGGAGCCTCGGGAATTATGGACAGAAAAGAAGTTCTTGGAGGTAACTAATATTCTGGATTTCTAGTTGGTAAAAGCAGACTCTTGTAGAAGTCTTCTGGGCAGCAGAAGCTGCAGTTCTGCAAGTACATCTCTGAGCATAAAAGCCAACCTTTTACATTGGACCTCTGAAATGAGGGTGGTGATTCATGATCCTGTGTTGTCAAAACCCTAACAGGGGCAACTATTAATCTGCTAATAGCAAAGCAGCCACTGCTAGTTATCTGGAATTTTATGTTTAAACCTATTCCTTTGCTCCTCTCAAAAATTACAGCTAAACTGTTCTAATGCTGCCTGGGTCAAATTACTGGAGTTGAACAACGTAGCCTTGCATACTTTGCAGCATGGCCTGGTGGGAGATCTGTTTCTCTAGGTTTACCTCATGTAGGTGAGCAGGCTTTTGGCAGGATGACCGGTTTGGGAGGGGGCAAAAGGACAAATTAATTTCTGGAAGTCATGAAGTCAGGGGTCGCGCTGTAAGGAACAATCTGGAACTTACAATCATATTAGCATTATCTGGTGTGGCACCTAGAGTAATTTGTGCCTTTTCCCCCCTTCTAGGTGTTATTGCTGGAGGACTAGTAGGCTTGGTGTTTGCAGTGTTTCTAGTTGCATTTATGCTGTACAGAATGAAGAAAAAGGATGAAGGCAGCTATTCACTGGATGAACCAAAACAGTCTAATGGCGGATACCAAAAACCACACAAACAAGAAGAATTCTATGCATAAACACTGATCTTCAGGACACTTCTTATTCCATCTTTCTTGGACTCTTCTCTCCCTGCACGTGGACCTCCTAGTGTGCTTTGCATTAAACTTAAGCCATATGATCATTGGGTTATTTGCCCTTACCACTTTGCCATTGGAAATTTTATAACTGCAAAGTAGATCTGGATTCATTGAACTTTCCCTGTTTTCTTGCACAACTTTTTTTTTTTTTTTTTTTTTTTAAACAGCAGTGGGACTGGAAGTTCCCAAACTCACTTTGGTTTAATCTAAAGACTGCTGGGGCAGGCGGTGGGGAGAAGATAAGGGAGCACTGTATGTATAAACCTCTTGATATTTAGGGAAAGGGCTAGCAAGAATAAACAATCAGTGCTTGAATTCTGTATAGCAGGGATCCTTCCTATTTAACTCATAGATGTGTTTTAAGTGTAACAAATGGCTGCGCTGGGCACACATTTGGTACACTGCAATCCTCTAGCTCTTTCTCACTGCCATATTTGGAGCACTTAATGCATATATGAAACATCAAGCTGACCATGATTTCTAGTGAAATGAGGTGTGAGGGCCAGGGTAAGCAAATGACTGTCATGTGGTTTAAAATAACTTGTATTTTGGAAACATTATCACATACTCAGAACCAGCTCCTAAGCAGTTGGTACATACACTAACACAAAACAAACCCAAAGACCCCAAAACTAAGTGGAGAGTTCATTTTACCAATAGCGTTGGACTGTCCCACTATCCTCTTGCTCCTTCTGGGCTTAGGTAAGAAATAGATTTTTCTAAGCAGTCTCATCTCAGACATTCCCTCTTCTTAGGTGCCAAATCTAGGCTGGGCTGTCATGCTGCAAATGCTCTTATCCCGCGCTACTGTGTAGTCACCAGGTGACTGATGGCGTGTTGTGGCACCTACCTCTCTGTGCACTGTTTACAGCGGTTGTCTTGGAACACGGTCTGCCATCTATGCCACAGGCATACCTTGGCACACAGGGGTGGAAGGTAGAAAGCGGCATATCGTGACTTTGCAGCTAAGGAGTAGAGAAGCATAGCATTTGAAACAAGCCTGATGAAGGCTAAGTGTAGATGGCCTTAAATATATATAACAGTTGGTGTGCTTGACTCTCACGACTCCGGAATGGCTCTTCAGAAGCTGTTCCTGCACTTTGGAGAGAAGCAACTCTGGATGTCAGACTAGTAAGGGCTGAAAAGCACCTCCTGAGGAAAGTCCGGATGCCTGAAGCTGCTGGTGGTCAATGTGCTGTCAGATGGAGGCACTGAGGCCTCATCGAGGGTCTGGAGTTCTCCAGAGTATCTCAGACCGAGTGAGAAGTGTGGTGTTCTGCACAAGCCTTACTTCTGCTCTGCCTTTGGTTAGCTTCTTGCAAGTTCAGTTCCTCATCACTCAGTGCAGAAGGTATGGGGTGGGTGGAGGAGTGTTTACAACTGATGCAAATATTTGTATTGTTGAGCCAGAGGGAATGACTGGAGAATACTGGAGAACATTGCAACAGTTGGTACCAATGTTGCACGTTAACAGTAAAACTTAAACCTGTGTAACATAAATGAAGTATAAAACACTCCTCAGCTGCTACGCAGCTAAAATTGGTGCCTTCTCTGCAAACCCAACAAAGAAACCCACTTCTTGATTCCAAACTCTTCTTTATGCACAAGAAAAATTTGTGCATATGAGTAGCTGGCTGTTTGGCTGTTTTTAAGTAAAGCTGCAAAGTCCATTACATCTTTTTTTTTTTTTTTTAACTGAATGAATTTTTATAGGTTAATGCAATGACCAGATGGTGTTAATTTCAGCTGTAATTCTTTGCTTTGTATAAGGAATGTAGAAATGTTGTTTGATGATAGGTTTATCTATGACAAGGTTCTTGTAAAGCACAGGAAGATAAAATGCTAAACTTCAGTTGTACCTCACAACCTTGCTAGGGGGAAAGGAAAAAAAACTGTATATTTTGGTAGTCTAAACTGACAGTTTGTGAAACAAACATGACATTCTGTGTTATTTAAGTGGTACAAATGAAATACGAGTTCAAACAGAAGATGCAACATTTGGTTATCTGTATGCCACGTAAAGGTATACTGCAATAAATGGCATTTTGGCAAGAACGTGTCTGATCTGTGAACATTGCTGTATATAATCCTTCAGAAAGCAGATGTGTTTTTTAACATTGCCCAGGTCTTTAAGGAAGTTCCATTCCAAGTATGAAATGTGAATTTTGGTGCTAAACATATGGAGGTTCAGCTCAGAAGTTGAAGGCTATGATTGTGGCCTCTTACCCTGTCCTGGATGTTGGGGTTGCGGTGAGCTGCTCTGCCTGAGGCAGTGGTGTGGGATATGAACATGACTTGATTTAAATCTCTTCGTTAGAGCCCTGCAGCATTTCATGCTGGTTCTCAATTTAGGAGCTCCTCTTGTTTGTGCAGTATGTCACCATCCCTAAAAAGGTGAAAAAAGTTGTAAATCTTCCACAGGCCTCGCTCTTGTTACCTGTCTTCTGCCTCCAGGAGTCTGAGAGCAGGGAAGGCTGCAGGAGGGGCAGCTCCAAGTCTCTATTAAAATGTGCTTCCCAAGACAAATTTAGAGCCTGTACCTTCAAGGAGGGAGAATGGAGCAGGGCTGTCCTAAGTATTCTGCTGTACAGCATCAATTACTTGGGTGCTACAGCTTGTGTGCGAGGAGATGGAGCAAAACAGAAGTAGAAAAAAATGACTTCCCTATTTCGTGAAGGGCAAAAGCTGCTCCCTGTCTGGGTGGGTCTTACTGCAGCTTATACAATTATCTTCTTTTACAAGGCTTTGAGCTGTAAGAAACTTACTTTTTTTCTCCTGTAAACTAGCCACCATATTTTTAATTTATAATCTCTTCTTGCTTACACTGGAACCATGTGGGCTGTGTGTTTCCCATCAGAAAATGTTTGGACGAATCTTGGTAATCAGAAGGTTTTGAGATCAGGCAAAAGAATGGAAAGGATTGAGTTTGAAGACTTTGCTTCCATAGCTAAACAAAGCTGGAAAGTGCTTTCTAACTGCATGCCAACTTCGCCAGTCCCTTAAACTGGGTAAAAGACTTGTGTAAGATCAGAGTTGACTGTTTTGCATAGCAGTGTCTTACCTGCTATGAATTCTCTTCCTTGGGGCTTCCCAAGACTTTTGCTTCCACTTTTCTAGTCGGTGACTGTGGGAAGTTAAGGTGACAGGGAGGGAAAAAATTGATGCCTGAGGAAGTGGGAAATTTCTATGTGGAAACTTTTACAAATGAAAGAGTATCTGATCCTCTGTCCACTTGAGAGGAACTTTGTTGTACTAGGAGAGAATCATCTATAGCAGGGATAGTGTGCCTCTGTATTCTGGCACAGGGTAGCCTGGGTTTTCCTGAGTCACATTTCTGTTCACTGTGCTTCCTGACTTCTTCATCCATGCTGGAGCAATTATCACATTTGCTCTCGTTCACAAGTGAGATGCAAAGAATGTGGCTGGCAGAAAATCTGACCCCTTCTTTGTTCTGGAAAATGAGCTGGAGGGTGTAAATGCACCGAATGTCAAGGAAGGCAAACTATGAGAGGAGGAGGACTTCACAATTCTTACTTTGTCAGGTTGCATTAGACCCCATAAAGGAAGCTAAAGCAAATCTAAAAGGCTGTATAATCTTGTAATTTAAATAGAGAACAGGAAAATAAAAAAAAAAAAAGAGGGCCACTCTACAGGGGTACTGGGAAGAAAAGCTATTTCAGACATTTCATAAATGCCTTATCTGAGCTTTCATCAGGACTAGTATGTATACTGGTGAAAATGAGTGGTGGAATAAAGGTGCAGGGTGGAATGTGCTTCATTTGAGGTAGCAACAAAACTAAAAAAAAAAAAAAAACCAAATCTTTTAAGTATGCAAGAGGACAGATAGATAGAGGCTCAAACCCAAATAGTTACTTGGCATTCTGGGGTAGTGTTTAGCTCATGAAACTGGAAGCTCGATGGACAGCATTTTTAATAAGCTTGTCAAATTAGAGGACAGCAATTTTACTGCAGAAAATGAAGTGCAGTGTCTGCACTAAGGAGAGGGGAGAAAAGATACGGCCTCAGCAGTATGCAGGATCTTACAAAAGGATCTGATGGATAGAAAAATTAAAAGATAGGATGTTGATATGTGGGATAAAATACAAAATAGATTCACCAAATTGTGCCAGAGTAATCAGATCTCTTGCTTTTTGGTAGCATTTTTTTCAGTCAAAAGCAATCTCATCTAATTGAACTTCAGGAAAGCAATTTATCAGTGCCACACAGAAAATGAATAATCAAAAGGAGGAGGCTGGGGGTTAGTGGTAGAATTGTAAAGTGGTGAGGAATGGGCTAAGGAGAAGCCTGCAGCAGGCTCTTCAAGACAGGGAGTTAGTGGGAATTAATGAAAAACCTTGAGAATCCTTCCGTTAAAGGTGAGGGCAAAAGATCCAAATGGATTGAGTACAAAGTTGTGCAGAAGATTATGTATGAAATGTTACTGAGCCAGTAGGATGTCTTTCAACCAATAGTCTATGCAAAGAACACAGAGACCCGTTGAAACCTTTCCTCTTTTCTCACATTTTTCCTCCTAGCAATCTCTAGATCAAGATTGGAGTTTTTCGGGGCACTTCACTATGAGCGGAGAACAAAGTTCTTTGTCTAACACAGACAAGATCAGCTGAGCCACATTTCCAGGTGGAGGTTTCTGGAAAGTCACCTTTTAAGACACTAGCTAATTAGGCAAATCAGGTTCACTTCTGTTAGAAGACAATGTGAAATAGGTCTTCCTGTTTCCTCAAACTGTCTTATCATTAAGCTTTCCAAAGTACACCTCTCTGCAAACACTGCCTGAAAAAAAAAAATCCTAATTCAAACTTTAAACCATCATGTTTCTACACTTAACCATTGCTTATAGCATCGTGCAGATAAGCCAGACTGGGATTCTAACAAGATTTAGCCCCACTACCATAAAAGCAGCAAACACAGGAGGAAAGTGGGAGGACAGAGAGAGGATGATGCAGCATGCAGCCATCTGGAGCAATATGCTTCTTCAGGGATCAACACTGCTGGGTTTATGAGTTGCCCTTCAGTCTGCTCTGTTGTTCCACACATAGACAGTCTCATCTTTAAGAGCAGCCAATGGTCTGCTCTTATTTGTCACATATTTTATTTACTCTAGTTCACTACCCTCCTTCCCCTAGTGTGCTTTAGCAGATGGGCAGCCTTCTGGACCATTCTTTGAGATGATAACAAAACATTATTGGGACCAATGTACTCTGCTTTGTGTGTGCAAACACACATGTACATGTGCTTATGTGGATGCATGTGCATGCACACACATGTATGTGCTAACTAGAAATCAAAACAGGAACTAGATAAAGGCAATCACTAAATTTAATTGTCAGAAAATATGAAATCCTTTTAGAAATAGAAAATCCTACTTCGAAATGGCATAAAGCAAAGAATAAACAGGTAAGATTTAAAAATAAAGATTAGCACTTGGATAGATAGTGGATCTCAGAATAAAGCTGTTCCAGTTT